ACAATTTGGCTGAAGGAACTGCGAACATTAAAACATATATTTTTTATCAAAAATTATATTATATTATATTATATACACACTATATAGCCAAAAGTTTGTGGAAACTTGCTTATCCAATGTTTCTTCCAACATCAAGAGTAAAAAGGCCTTTTTCTGCAGTAACAGCCTCTACTCATCTGGCAAGGCTTTACACTAGACGTTGAACATTGCTGTGATGATCTGATTGAGCATTAGTGAGGTCAGGTACTGATGTTGGATGGTCAGTTCTGTATCTCCAACTCGTCGCAAAGGTACTGGATGGAGCTCCATCACTCCAGAAAACGCATTTCCACTGCTCCACAGCCCAATGCTGGCGGGGCGGGGGGGGGCATGGTGACCTCATGTGCGGCTGCTCCAGAGCCTCCTGTTCTCTTGTCAGTGCTTTTCTACTGAGATTATACAAGCCATGTGTGCGTTTGAGCTCTTATGTCAGCAGTTAGTGACCTTAATGCAGCTGAATTCACTAATAAGAGGGGGCGTCCGCAAACCTTTTGGACACATAGTGTATATTAAAAGGTTGACAGAGGCCGAGCATGCGATCACAGCAACAGCCTAACGGTTAAATGGTTAACCATGTAACTGAGAACGGGGAGGGGGACTTAAAATATGCAAAATTGTATGCAAAAGTTTGGGCACCCCTGGCCAAATGACATATTTTGTCGATTTTCTGAAGTGAAATTAAGTCATGAATATAAAGGAGCTATATGCATTACATCTGTAGGATTTTTTATTAGTTTGAAGAGGATGTGTTTACTATTTTCACTTCAAAAAACCACCATGCAAGATGCCATTCCATGAATATTACTGGGAGTTGAGTGTTTGGGATATCACATGTGTCTCAATACACATTCTGATGGACTCTCATGATGGCATCTTCCACTGTACTACCAAGAACGGTTAAAGTGTTCTAGATCCAAGGATACATCAGTTGTTGATCTGCCAGTGAGATCAAATAAAAAAAAAAAATTGAAGTATCAAATAACTGCAAGTACACAGCACATCTCAAACTTGTTTAAATAGTTCTTGTAAAGTTTTTCTCAGTGATTTATGTCACTTCCTTCTCTTCTTGGCACTGAGAATGGACCATTATCAACCGTGCTAACTATGAACACTTACTAACTAAGGCAAACTTCTAAAAACACTTCAAACTCAACTTTGGTTAACTTCCTCTATGTTTAAAGTCAAATCATAACACAACCTCTGCGCCATGACGGATTTCCGAGAGGGTCTCTGAGGTTAGCTGAGTGTTTTTGATCGATGAAAGGTGGGGGAGTGGTGTGAGGGGGAGGTGAAATATGAGATGAGTGTTATTTTTCCCTGCTTGCCGGTGCATGATGACACAAACGAAAATAAGAAGACATTTTAGAGGCAGTGGAAAGGCACTAGATGGGGACGGAAGATCTTTAAACGGTGAATCCTGCTCAATACGACCAGGAACAAGGTAAAACGTTTCACTTTGATTTCAGGCTGACTGTTAAAAACCACTAGCAACAACTTTTCTTTGGATAGGGGAAACGTAATACAGAAGAGGTGTTGACCCAGAGCCAGAAGACTGTGCCTATGGAACACACCTAGCAGCCAGAGAGGCTAGTCATGCTTCAACACGGCCCCATAAGCGAGAAGTGTGAGTTTCAGATATGATATTTGCATCCAAGTAGGTACAGATGAGGGCAAAACAAACGACTGTTTAAACAGACACCAAACAGGCCTAAGCATGCATTTCAGAGAGCTCGGCGAAGACGGCGAGGAGGAGACTTGCTTTCAGCTTCGCTCATACGTAAAGAACGAATAGTGAAAATCAAGTCTGGAAGTTTTTAAATTTCATCTCTTGAGAACAAATGACAGTGGTAACACTTTACTGTAGGGTGCTGTTCATAAGGCTACATGACCCCTACATAAGCTTGTCATGACAACTGACATAACCATACATAAACGTTTATAAATGCTTATTCCAATAGACATCATTCGCTATAAAGGTTACACCAATTTTGATCAAAGTTAGCTTAAGTAGCCTTTATAACAGATGAAGTCTACTGGAATAAGCATTTATAAACATTTATGTGAGATTATGTCATTTGTCACGACAAGCTTATGTAGGTGTCATGTAGCCTTAGGAACAGAACCCTACAGTAAGCAAAGCAAAGCAAAAAGCTTGCTGCAGACTGTGGTAATTAAAAATTGCTTTTTTTAACCAAGGCTTCTAAAGGCAACTGGCATTGCGGCCTGCTTACCACCTCATATCAGAAGGGTCGTTTATGGCCTTTGACCTGGTGGTTACATAAGCAGCAGCAGGAAGCAGCAGTGGCCGCATTACTCAAGTCCACTTCAAGCTTCACACAAAAAAACGTTGACTTCCGTACCGGCACCGTTACACAACAGTGGAGCAGAATCTCAAGCCATGATGGAAAGAAAAGTGCAAGGCAAGCTGTTTTGTTTTCGCAGTGCAAAACGAGAATGATGGGAAAGGAGACGAAGAGAAAGAGCGAAAGAGAGAGAGAGAGGGGAAAAATAAGGACTCTCAGGGCTACAGAACTGCTTGGTCAAGCAGTCAAATGTTTGAGCAGCTCAGGCCAAATTACGTTTTTGTTAATTTACTGTAGTATAAATAAGCAGCTTTTTTTAAGTTTAATGCAAAATTACTCTTTATTTGGGGAAAAAAGACAAAATATGGCATCCATGAAGGTTATAGCACATTTAATACACTGTATGGCCATAAGTATGGCCTAATTATTGAGTTCAGGTTTTCAGCCACACTCATTGCCAACAGGTGTATAAAATCAAGCACACAGCCATGCAGTCTCGATAGACAAACACGGGCAGTGCAATGGGTCGTACTGAAGAGCTCAGAGACTTTAAACGTGGCGCTGTCATAGGATGCCACAAGAGGCAACAACAGCTCAGCCACAAAGCGGTAGAACTAGCAAACTCACAAAACAGGCCACCAAGTGTAGTGCGCACAAATCATCTACCCCCTGTTGAATCACTCACTACAGTAAGTGCCTCTGGAAGCAACATCAGCACAAGAACTGTGTGTGCGGCGCTTCATGAAATGGGTTTCCAAGGTCGAACAGCTGCACACAAGCCTAACATCACTATGCGCAATGCCAAGTGTCGGCTGGAGGGGTGTAAAGCACTGCCACTGGACTCTGGATCAGTGGAAACGTGTTCTCTGGAGTGATGAATCAGATTCTCTATCTGTCAGTCTGATGATGAATCTGGGTTTGGTGGATGTCAGGAGAACGTTAACCTACCAGAACGCACAGTGCCAACAGTAAAGTTTGGTGGAGGAGGGATGATGAGCTGGGCTGTTTCTCAGGGTTTGGGCTCTGAGATCCAGTGAAGGGTGATGTTAAGGCTACAGCTCACAAAGACACTTTCCACAGTTCTCTGCTTCCAGCTTTGTGTCAGCAGTTTGGGGAAGAGCCTTTCCTGTTCCAGCATGACTGAGCCACAAAGCTCCACTTGTTTCATGTGGAAGTGATTCATGACCGATTAGGAGAGCTTATTGCTGTAACAAGCACCAGTGTTAGTGACACAGTTGGGGAAACACTAACCTGCACATTTAAGACATTTCCCTGACCCATTACAAATAGTCAGCGGTTGTTAACAAGCTGGGTCCAGTTTTCCAAAAGATGCTTTCAGGAAACTCCTGATTAGCTGAGTCAGGTGTGTTGAAAGCAGTAAAACAAAGATGTGCACGGCAGCATTCCTCTAGGACTAGGACTGAGAAACACTGTGCTACAAATGTCCCTATGATTTCACATATTTCGAAAAATTAGTTTTCATATTTGTATGTTTGAAACTACACTGTGCTGCTGAAATCTTACAATAAAACAAAACAAAAGAAAAAAAAATAAAAAATCACTGGGCTAACCCACAGTGGTCCTGCAGGAGCCCTGCATCTCCTTAATAGGGATATCCATCCATCATTTGCCGTACAGGTCCTCCTACAGTCCTGCGAGTCTCTTCCTGAAGCTGGTCATGATGTCACTAACATTGGTGCATGTGAATCCACAAGCTCTCCTAGTCAGTCAGAAATCATTTCCACAGAAAACAACAGGTAATCGCTTTAAACAGGTTGGCGAACGTTAAAATGATACTAGCAGCGGTTGCGAATGCCCTAGTTTAGAAAACATGCCCCACATTTAAAAGTCCCTCCTGACGTCCCTATTTGATTGACAGGAGTGCCTTGCTGTCAGTGAAAATGCAACTGCAAACAAGGTTGCAAATTTTGTTAATTTTTGGCACAGCTGGAGTGTGACGAGGAAATAAAATTGCAAGTGGGCGACTGTTAGACCATTAAGACAACGAAACACGTCAAAAGCACTTTGCATTTCCATGTTAACTTAAACAGCCATTATTCACAAGAAATGCAAACGCATACACAAATTTTGCATTTGAATTTGAATTATGTCCTAAATCACTCACAGGGGAAATGCAACTACAAACACACAATTTAATTAGCAATTTCAAATTAGCATCTGAACTTGAAAAAAGTCTAGAATATGCTGCTACAACTGTGATTTGGCCTAAAATGTAACTTTGAAATACAGTAATTGCAGAGAAGTACATGCAAAACAAAATATTCACTACAGAAAACTTTTTCCGCCTCATATTTACTGTTTTACAAATGTCAACATTAAGAATAAAAACTGAGATATGTGTAGGTTAAGCGGTCTTTTTGGATAGTAAATAAAAGGCCTATACACAGTGCAACCCGTGGGTCCTATCACCACCACTGGGAAGAAATCAGAGGCAGAAGGTTTCTCCACAATCCACCATCTTATCAATTTACTGATTGGATTATGCAGAACTTTTGGTGAAATCAGTGAATTCCTCTTTAACACAAGCGTTCTATCTAGAACATTAAATGCGCTTCAGTAGAACTCCAGCTCTGAGGACTAAGAACATCTGAGTGGTGATCTGGATCCGTATGGCTGTTCTGGGTTGGAGATGCTTACCAGCAGACTAGAAGAGGAAGGTGACAGGAGGAAAGCCCACCCAGGCACTCGGCCGAGGTCGCGGTCCTGCAACGGGGGCTTGGGCTCTGGAGAAGAGACAGAGAGACACATTCAACAACAATGGCTCAACAGATTGAACATATAGACAGATAGAACAGATAGAACATTTTGTTGTCAACATAGATTAAAAGAAGCTACAAGTCGGTCAATTAAGTTGAAAGAGAATTCCACCAGTTTTTCAAAATTTCTGCATAACTCAGTTGCTAAGATGTAAAAATCACTCAGAGTGGTTTGGTGTGAAATGGTTCATAGTAAAGACTCAGATGTCTTTACAGTGGTGGTGATAGAAACCAGGGGTCGCCATGACTACAACACAATATAGACATTTTATTTACCATCCAAAACCACCAGTGAACCTACACGAGTCTTCTGAGTGTTTATATGGAATGTGATGGTAAAATAGTGGAAAATCTAGAAATAATAAGTTTTCTTGAGGACTATTTTGCCTCACAACATCCTGCATGTATCCTTGATTAAAAAAATATATACTTGGTTTAGACCAAAACCTTCTCAAAAGTGTCATAAAAAGCATATTAACCAGAATAACTTGAGGGAGCTTTTAGAGGTGGACGTCTGGTTCCTATCACCACCACTGTGAACAATTCTGACTCGGTAAGTTTCTCTAGAACTGAGCGTTTCACACCAAACCGCTCTGAATGACTCTGTTTACTTCTTAACCACTTAATAACGAAATTTAGAAAATCAGGTAAATTCCCCTCCAAAGTGTGCTTTACTGGCTGATGTGTGTGTGTTATACACATATACACATGTGTGTGATGTATGTATATATAAAGGTTCTATTTGGAACCTTCTACAGGAACCATCTACAGCACATTTTCAATCAGTCTGAAGAACCCTTTCACGATGCAAAGAACACTTTAATAATGCAAATGGTTCTCTGAGTGTTCATGCTGAACCATATTCAAGAGAACTACTTTCTTTACTAAAGAACCCTTGAAACATCATTTTTGTGTGTATATATATATATATATATATATATATATATATATATATATATATATATATATATATACACATATAATGTATGTAAGTCAGTGGGACCAGTCTTTTTTCTAAGTACATTTTGGTCATTTCTTTTGGTCCATTCTTCAAGAAATTCACATAAGATGTAAAGGGCAACACATATATTCAAATTATGTCAAAACCTGGGAAAAGAAAAAAAATTATATATATATATATATATATATATATATATATATACATATCACTGTCCAGGGTGTATCCTGCCTTCCGCCCAGTGACAGCTGGGATAGGTTCCAGCACCCCACCGCGACCCAGAAGGATAAGCGGTTTAGATGATGTGTGTGTGTGTGTGTGTGTGTGTGTATGGGTGTGTGTATATATATATATATATATATATATATATATATATATATATATATATGTACTGTACTAGTAGATGCGAGAAACGTCCAAGAATATCGACATTCAACTCGTCAAGCGACAGCAGATCAGCAGAGAGCATTTCCCCATTTCATTTCCCAGTAACAGCTTTTTTGGTCTCTCTCTCTCCACACTTACACAACACGGCCCATGATGGGCTGTTCTCCATCGGTCCCACTGTGAATTCTACACAATCAAAGAACTTTGTGTAGCTTTGGTAAACACACCTCCACAGGAGACTCAGGCAGCCCTCCAGTTCACTGTGTGTCAAACTGGGCTCCATTCAGCAGCACATCTCTGGTAGAGTTTAGCATTTCCCCTTTTCTAACACTGCAGTCTCAGCTCATGAAGGCCTTGCTTACCAGATGTGCTTAATTAGGGAGGAAGACTAAGTCTGCAGAGCTGCGACCTGGAAGGAACCCAGTTTGACACTCCCTGTTGTACACCTATCTAGGCCACACTGCGCTAGCACTTTATTAAATGCTTGACAACCATTCCATCTGGCAATCTTTAGGAACCACCACAATATGTCTGTAAGCTACAGGCTAATAAACAGACTACTGACACAGTTGTATGCAAAAGTTTAAGCGCCCTTGGCTTAATTGAGTTTCGTTGATTTTCTAAGTGAAACTGAGTTTTAGCTACGTTCACATTACAAGCCTCGTCGCTCAAATCCAATATTTTGCTCAAATCCGATCTCTCTGACACGATGGTTCACTCTGGTTTAGGTAAGTGATTCAAATCTGTCATTAATGTGATGAACCGGCGTCCTGAAATGACCCTCATGAGCTCATCCTACTCAGTAACGTCGCGTGAATGAATCACGTGCATCATCAGCACAAACTAACGAGCAGAACGAGCTTCGCTGAGAAGGTAATTAACTCTGATCAGCTCTCAGCTTCATTATTAGAGCGAGACGAAGGAGAAAAAGGTGAGATGAGCTGCTTTTCAACCGTTCACAGGCTTTAACTTCTGTTCGGCGCTGTTGCCATGGTAACGCTGAATGATGGCGCAGCGCAGTGGAGAAAAAGCACATGAATTCCGATCTGAGTGTCATGTTAAGGTCGCATGGCCACGAATCGGATATGTATCAGATCTAGGACCACGTACGAAAGTGGCTCAGGTTGGATTTGAAAAGATCAGATTTGTGTCCACACAGCTCTGAAAACATCAGATCTGAGTCACATTAGGGCAAAAAAATCAGATTTGTGCCACTTCAACCTGGGAATGTGAACGTAGCCTTTAATGCACTTCGTGATTAACATACTGGGGAAAAAAATAAATAAATGAAATGTGAGCTGTGCTGAAGTTATGACATTTTATACTTTATGTTTTTCCATATGTTAAACTTATCAAACAAATAGAAACTGTGCACGAAAATTTGCTAAAAATGTCATTCATATTTATTTGTCCTGCAGAGGATGCGTTAACTTATTTTTGCTTAGAAAATCAACTAAACTTGTAAGCTGACCATTGTACACTGCCCAAAAGAGAAGCCTTATCCAGGGGGCTCTGAAGACTAAATGATTGAATGACTTCCACTTCAAAATGATGGCTTTGTTATATATATATCTGGGCTAGCAGCAGCGCAATGCTGATTACAGTTATCAAATTCCACAAGAACATATGAAATCAGTGTCATTCCACTCTCAAAGGGGCCTGAATCTGGCGAATCTGACCTGGTCAGGAAACACACGCCCCCTTCCTCACAATGCAAAGGCAGATTTTAGGGTGGGGTCATCAGTTCTGATTCTCCAGGGCCAGGGTCCGGCACAGTTTGCTGATTTCCCTCTTTAATCACCACCCCAGTGTGAAAATCAAGGCCAGTGTCGGCCTAAACTCTGAGCTGTAGGTCGGCACAGGCTCGCTAACAGGCCGAAGTGGCGGAGAGAGAGAGCTGGCGGAGAGTAGGAGGTGCTCAGGCCACTTCCTCTTGCGCAACACTTCCTCCCATTCGGAGCAGCCGTCAGGTTCCCATCCTGAACTCTGACTTTAGCACACCATCAGCACTGCTGTCTGCACGGTAAGCTTTTTAGGCTTTGAAATGAGCACAGCAGAAATCACTGCATACTGTTTTCAACACTTCCAGCTGAGGAATTTAATAAGAGGCAAGAATTTTGACACAGTCAGAGGCATCGTCATTCATCAGCGTCATGAGTCAGATCAAACTGCATTTCACCATGTTTTGCACTGCCTTTGAAAAGAAACACAGAGTGAATCCTGCCACTTCCTGCCTCATGTGACCTTGCTAGAAAAGAGTGGCTATGTGAACCATGTTCTACTATGAACCATCATCCTCTTCCTCTTTTTAAGACGTATTACATTACAAAGGAAGCATACTTTGCTCTAAAACTGACCCTATATGGACACAAGCACTTTTTAACAAATAAACTAGAGTGATGTGTCCCACAGAGTCTCTATTGTCCCTACAGCAATGCGAACAGCAAGCCTGCTCTGCTACCCAGAACGGTGAATAAACAACAACAAAAAACCTTTGGTGGCATTGCAAGGTTACATGGTAGGAAGGGTCAGAAGTTCAGTCTTGGAAGTTGGTTGCACTTTCTGCTCTCACGATCCAAGTGAATCCAAACACATTCAGTGATGATCGCGATGGACAGTCCACCGTTCTGAGAACACCAGCTTTAGGGCTGTACGATACTGACAAAATGTGATCTTCGATAAAGCTGTCGGATATTACGATGACGATATGAGAAGCGATAAATTGTGTCTCTGACTGGATGTGACCGGTGGCGGTTCTAAAAGTTTTACCAGGGGTGGCAAAAAAGCGAGGAGGTGACCAGTTTCACTCTGATCGTACAGTAACTTCAGTCTAGCAAATCTATACCTGCACATAGAGACACATCTTCTATCCATATCTTGTATAATATGGTGTATATATGTATATATATATATATATATATATATATATATATATATATATATATATATATATGTATATACATATACATATATATATATATATATATATATATATATATATCATAATATATATATATATATATATACCAAATTATACAAGATATGGATAGAAGGTGTCTCTCTCTCTCTTTCTATATTATATATATATATATATATATATATATATATATATATATATATATATATATATATATAATATATATAATGTGTATGTATATGTCAATATTCTATCCCCTGTATACCTGCATCTAATTCATCTACCTCAGACTCACTAATTGCACATACGGCAATGTGTACAACTGTACATATCATAGCTTTTATTTCATAACCTATATTACTGTTACAAAAACTGTACATTGGAATGATGCAACACTGATGTGTACTAATGTGTATATTTAGAGTGTATTTTTATACACGTTTTAATACATTTTCTGTATATGTAAGTACTAAAGGGGCTACGCACCTCAGATTTTCACTCATCTTTGCACCTGTGTAAATGTGATAATGATAGACGTGACAATAAACGTGATTTGATTAGATTTTTTCATTTTGGGCTAGCATCTGGGGCGGTCAATCAGATTTCAGGGGAGACACAGGCCACTCCGGGCACCACTTTAAACGGGGCACAGATGTGACTTATTTTTTTGGATGTGTACACAGGAATATAATTCACCTCTCCTTT